GCGATATAACACTTCGTTCGGACTCATCCCACGTCTCGTTGACGGAATCTAGAAGCCCATAGAAAATCAGATTATTTATTCGGAATCTATTTTCTAGATCATCCTGTCGCATCTTGAGTGAACTAAGTTGCGCAGTCACGGTTTCATTTTGTTCCTTAAAACGTCGTATCTCTCCGTCCATTTCCTTTACAGACAGTAGCTTTTTTTCAATCCCACCAATACGAGCTGTAAGTGCACCAAGCTTCCCTTCTGCGACCAGCTGATTTTCTTTGATCTCCTTCAATTCTGAAAGTACCTTTGTCTGCCCCAGCTGTATCATCGGTATAACACGGAGGGCATCAAGGAGCTCCTGTTGCTGCTCCGCTGTAAGCGGGCCGGGGTTTTCTTCTACGTCGCCAGACAGCATTAAGCGTTTTATGATCAGGGATAAAACAACCCGACATTTCAAAGAGAGCACTTCAACAACGCATTCAAAGGAACACTTCAAAAGAAACAGAAAGTTTGGTCCCGGTGCCGCGTCACAAGGTTGTGCGTAACGCACGACAGTTTCGTGGAAGTAAGGTGTACCAACCTGAAGAGCGAGAACCCGTAAGCATCCCACCTCCATGACGGCACCGGAACCCATCCGTTGCTGGTAGAGCAGACTCTTAAATAGTTCGTAGACACATGATGTCGATCGCTGTTGCTTGACGTGATGTTTGAAGAAAGCCGAGTCCGGGTATGGCAGCGTCAAATCTATCGAAGAATGACTTGGCTGACAAGTTGAAATCGCCAGGCATCTTTCGTCGTACCATGACTCGTCAGTCCAAAAGGGCGTGAACTCAGCGCCGCAAGAGACGGCTAGGGCCTGCTTAAACTGAAGAGCGAGAACCCGTAAGCATCCCGCCTCCATGACGGCACCGGAACCCATCCGTTGCTGGTAGAGCAGGCTCTTAAATAGTTCGTAGTCACATGATGTCGATCGTTGTTGCTTGACGTGATGTTTGAAGAAAGCCGAGTCCGGGTGTAGCAGCGTCAAATCTATCGAAGAATGACTTGGCTGACAAGTTGAAATCGCCAGGCATCTTTCGTCGTACCATGACTCGTCAGTCCAAAAGGGCGTGAACTCAGCGCCGCAAGAGACGGCTAGGGCCTGCATAAACTGAAGAGCGAGAACCCGTAAGCATCCCGCCTCCACGACGGCACCGGAACCCATCCGTTGCTGGTAGAGCAGGCTCCTAAATAGTTCGTAGTCACATGATGTCGATCGCTGTTGCTTGACGTGATGTTTGAAGAAAGCCGAGTCCGGTTGTAGCAGCGTCAAATCTATCGAAGAATGACTTGGCTGACAAGTTGAAATCGCCAGGCATCTTTCGTCGTACCATGACTCGTCAGTCCAAAAGGGCGTGAACTCAGCGCCGCAAGAGACGGCTAGAGCCTGCATAAACTGAAGAGCGAGAACCCGTAAGCATCCCGCCTCCATGACGGCACCGGAACCCATCCGTTGCTGGTAGAGCAGGCTCTTAAATAGTTCGTAGTCACATGATGTCGATCGCTGTTGCTTGACGTGATGTTTGAAGAAAGCCGAGTCCGGGTGTAGCAGCGTCAAATCTATCGAAGAATGACTTGGCTGACAAGTTGAAATCGCCAGGCATCTTTCGTCGTACCATGACTCGTCAGTCCAAAAGGGCGTGAACTCAGCGCCGCAAGAGACGGCTAGGGCCTGCATAAACTGAAGAGCGAGAACCCGTAAGCATCCCGCCTACACGACGGCACCGGAACCCATCCGTTGCTGGTAGAGCAGGCTCTTAAATATTTCGTAGTCACATGATGTCGATCGCTGTTGCTTGACGTGATGCTTGAAGAAAGCCGATTCCGGGTGTAGTAGCGTCAAATCCATCGGAGAATGACTTGGCTGACAAGTTGAAATCACCGGGCATCTTTCGTCGTACCATGACTCGTCAGTCCAAAAGGGCGTAAACTCAGCGCCGCAAGAGACGGCTAGAGCCTGCATAAACTGAAGAGCGAGAACCCGTAAGCATCCCGCCTCCATGACGGCACCGGAACCCATCCGTTGCTGGTAGAGCAGGCTCTTAAATAGTTCTTAGTCACATGATGTCGATCGCTGTTGGCTGACCTGATGTTTGAAGAAAGCCGGGGTGTAGTAGCGTCAAATCCATCGAAGAATGATTTGGCTGACAAGTTGAAATCACCGGGCATCTTTCGTCGTACCATGACTCGTCAGTCGAAAAGGGCGTGAACTCAGCGCCGCAAGAGACGGCTAGGGCCTGCATAAACTGAAGAGCGAGAACCCGTAAGCATCCCGCCTCCACGACGGCACCGGAACCCATCCGTTTCTGGTAGAGCAGGCTCTTGAATAGTTCGTAGTCACATGATGTCGATCGCTGTTGCTTGACGTGATGTTTGAAGAAAGCCGAGTCCGGGTGTAGTAGCGTCAAATCCATCGAAGAATGACTTGGCTGACAAGTTGAAATCACCGGGCATCTTTCGTCGTACCATGACTCGTCAGTCCAAAAGGGCGTGAACTCAGCGCCGCAAGAGACGGCTAGAGCCTGCATAAACAGAAGAGCGAGAACCCGTAAGCATCCCGCCTCCATGACGGCACCGGAACCCATCCGTTGCTGGTAGAGCAGGCTCTTAAGTAGTTCGTAGTCACATGATGTCGAGCGCTGTTGCTTGATGTGATGTTTGAAGAAAGCCGAGTCCGGGTGTAGTAGCGTCAAATCCATCGAAGAATGACTTCGCTGACAAGTTGAAATCGCCGGGAATCTTTCGTCGTACCATGACTCGTCAGTCCAAAAGGGCGTGAACTCAGCGCCGCAAGAGACGGCTAGGGCCTGCATAAACTGAAGAGCGAGAACCCGTAAGCATCCCACCTCCATGACGGCACCGGAACCGGCACCGGATTTTCGCAAATAGTCTATCGGGCAACAAGCAAAACAAGTAAAAAAAATTAAGTAATTTATTAATATAGTGGTTTATACTGAGCTAGTTAATTTAGTGATACAGATTTGGAACTTCAGAAAGAGACCCCCCATGCATCCTTTAATTTCGTGAAGATTCGCAACTCTACAAACTAGTGTGGAATTCCCTACATCCACTCGCACTACTTTCCTCAAAAGAGTAAATAGAAATCATTCTGAGGAAAGAAAACTTCCCGGCTGAAGTAAGGGGACCACAACAAAAAGCTGCACTATGAACTTCAAGCTGCTCGACAATTCATCGAACTTCCTCGGTATAATTAGGTCTGTAACAGGAGATTGAATAAATGATGTCGAACTTCCTGACCTGAAGGACAACAACAGTGTCATGAACTTTTTTGGGCTCGTCTGTATTATATGAGTTGTACACAATACATCAAGGATTAAAATTTGACAAGAAAGAAGCATAAGGAGGAACTGTCGCTAGGAATGTGGTAATGCATTCCTTCTTGGCACTACTGAACCTGGATAGCTACACTTTGCCCATATGGGCACTTTTTTTAATCCTTGAAACTTTTAAGGTGTTTTTTATGACAACGTTTTTTTTTAAATAAGTGAAAAATGTGCATACCACTTAAGTACGGCTTTGTGTAAAACAAAATGCAAAATGCCCCCAACAAAAGACATCATTTGCCCTGGAGCAAGTGAACATTAAAGGCCATGTGGATATCATCTAGAGCATGTTAAATTTTATCACAAATTCAGTTAGAAAATTTTAACTTTCTAAATATCATCCCCTGTTAGTGCTATGAGCGGGGTAATACTAAAGGGAGTGCAAGGGGAGATCCAAGTGCCCAAGAAAGGGTTCCGGCAAAGTCCCATCGAGGACGGGCAATGAATAGGAAAAAGCCATACCCTCCAAAGCTTGTGTTCATGACACACGGGGAAACATGCCTAGCTTCAAAGGAAAACTAATGCCTTTCATTCTACGATCTACCAGACTAACAGTTGCCAAACTCACTAGCCACCCCCCGAAGCCCCCCCCCCCCCCTCCCCTCCGTTCTATCAAAGTACAATCTCAAAAGTCTTCTAGAAATACCCAGGGGAATGTTGAACACGTGTACAACATGGCTATGACAAGCAGAGTTTAGTTTTTGCTGCGGTTTGCCGGTTTACGTATTTATATCTTGCTAGAGATCTGTAAAATAGAAAACAAAAATATGCTTGAGTGAAATCCCGAAGCTCTGTGACTAACCAGTCCTTCTATTTGGTTGTGGGAAATATCGACAACGTACTTTTTTTTCGGATGGTACGAGCATGTTCTCTTTTTGTAGGCCATTTGTGATGTAACCTGTTTTGTTCTGCTGAAAACATGAAGTGGACCTAGACCCAATGTCTTTTTTTATATTAAGGAGGCGAAATTCGGTCATTTGTATTCCAGGCAAAACGTTTGCCAACCAAACCATTCTGGCGATCCAATATTGAGGAGGAGCAATTGCCTTAGCCAGACCTTCCTCATGTGGTGTTGGTAAATCGTGAACAGTATCCTCTAAGTAAGGTTTCCTCAGAGGTACAATTCGACAGTTTCTGAGATACTCAAAATCCAGCGAGAAAGAGCTGTTGTTTTCAAAATGAGCAGATTCTTTCGGGCCAAGAAAGGGAATGCATAAATCCGTCAAAATAAATTCTATATACTTGTTCCGCTGTCACATACGTTTTTTTCGGTACCATTGCCAAAATTGTACTTCTTTTTGAAACATTTAATAGTTAAAATAAACGAAGCAGTGCGCGTATCTGCTTGTGATATCTCTTTACGTTCTCTCCCTCATTAAATCCGCTTCAGCTAAATCTACAGTATGTTTCAACTACTGCAGATTAATTTGAAGACAACGATATGTAAAGGAAAATTCTTAACGTCAACGTTCATGCATGTCCTTCCCCATAAACCTAGCACACCACATGGACGACTGTCGCTATTGCAACAGTCTTCTTGTAATCTCAACCGCCAGAAAGGAATCTCAGCCGCCAGATAGACAGAAGGGTCATGAATGGGACGACTTCCTCTTTGGTGTCACATTGCCTCGAGAGGCGCCTCCGCTCAGTCGTGTAAGTAGGCTCCCCTAGTTCATATGCCCTTGACAGTGGCAGCTTCACTTCTTTATTTCCTGCACGTGTCGTAAAAGAACATTAGTGCTGGTACAGCTCTTCCAAACTTAAGGTTCACCGTGTTACGCTTCAATTCTGTGCAATTTCTGCCTCTGAAAAACAAATGGGTTGTAACGCCATCTTTCTAAATCTTGATGTTGAATACTTGGGGTTAAAACTGCCTCTTGTAGCTTGGCTCTACGGCCTTTTGTAATGCCCATGCGTTGAAATTGCCAGTGTTTCGAAATGTTGTCGGAAATTGAATTTCAATCATATCATAAAATTACTCTATAAGAAGGTATTTTGTTGCCGGTTACCAACATTGGATTAATGGTAAACCCTCGCCTACTTTGTATTATCTTCACAAAACATGAATTTCTTGTTAAATTCTTATTGATCTTAAAATTGAGCACTCCTTAGGAGATACAAATAACTTTATATGTTAACGCTTACGCTCTGTAATGGTTTTATGAAAAAGATACTGACGTGCGCGTTTTGACATGCAAAGTCATTAATATTATTTCTAATACTGTCAAAAAGTTTTAACCAGGAGAATTTGGCCTTGGAAATGATTGTTGCCTTGGGTAACAAAGTCTTATCTGGACAGGATGGACGTTCTTCTGACCAGATTTCTTGGATTGCTGCTGCTCAGTAACTGTGAGTGATGACTCATAAGTCTCAACTGTTGCATTTTTACCGTATGCTTTTTTTAAATCTACCAGTAATATGTGCTTTTTTGCATGTTTAATCAACTCTAGACCCAACGAGTCTAGACTCAAAGAAAAAAAAAGTTGTTTTATTGTTGTCTACTTAATTTGTTTACTCCCAGCATCATCATTTGTTTTGAGGTTCATGTTAGTTCCATTTTAGATTTACTATTAACGTTCGTACAAATTAACATCCGTGTAGAAATGCTACCTGTAGATTTATTATATTTTTATTTTTTATATATATTGTTTTGTTTATCATTTGGTTCCAGTCAAACGCCTTATTTAATTATCTTGATAGTAAAATGTATTTAAGCACTGAAACTCACCCTTTGCTCAAGAAAAACCTAAGATAATATTCGGATTCACATCGACGTGTACGATTACTATAAATAATGCAATGCAGTAAATATATCTTATAGAAACAATTAATGAACCCTACATAGGATATTAGTTTACTGCGATAGCAGTTAGTGGGACACTTCGTGGCTGTTGGGCCGTCACAGCTACAAGATTCCACATTCATGTCACGCCGCCCGACATGACTCCGACCTCACGCCGCGCGTCACGTCACCTTTTACCTGGCATCAGCTGAAACTATGATGTGACATGGTCATGTCAATTCATGTTGTACAGAAATTCCACGCGACTTAATGACGTCACATGGCACTGTAAGTCACGTGATGTCATACCGTCATGTGACATCCAGACGCCACGTGACAATACGCCGTCATGTTACTCACTGACGCCTCGTAGAAACATAAACATGAGACTGCTGATAATGGAAACAATAAAGCGCTTTCGCTAATTATGGCAGAGAGGTTTTCGGGCGATAAAACGAATAAACCTAGGTGCGTGTTAAGCAGGCGAAATCATGGGCGTGAAATTCGGTGGAGCTACACATTGAAACTTAAGTGAGCGATTTCCAAAGTGTTGTTCAGTGACCATAAGGCGGTGTTATTTTGTGTCTAATAACAATGCATCAGACGTTCAGGCAGTCACACCAACAACATGGGACAGTGCATGCATACGCATAGTCTCGTCGTTCCCTCGATAACAAACATGGGCGCGCGATCTCAAAAGTTACCTTCAGTTACCGCAAGGAAGTCCTTGCATACAATAAAATTGTTTAACAAGCTTAGGAAATAATCTCTACTTAATACGCCCCCATTGGTTCCAAAACGCTATAGAATTTTTGTCCGGTGTGTTACTCGGTTTAATACAAAACGCCTATGCGGACTCTTGGTGCCCGCTCGCATGTTTACCGTTTATTTAGTACATCTGCTGCAAAATAACATATCAGCGGCCCCGACGGCACACCTTAGCTGTCAGAGTGTTTCACCTTACGGCTAGCTCATCTGCCGACAAATTTTGGCTTGTTCCGTTTTTTACTTTCTTGTTCTAGATTTATGTGAAGCCAACTCGACAATGATGTCAACATCACCAATTCAAAACACATCTTCTGTCGAATTATTTGAAACATTGGATTCATCAGCATCAACCAGTAAGTTTATTATTTAAAATATCCTTTCTGTGTTTATTTTATTTGATAAATAGGTTTTCACCTATTAATGCGTAAAGCTGAGTGCTGTCTCAAGATTGATTCTGTGAACCAAAATAAAAATGTGGTATAGTAGAACAGTCACCCCTCTGTTACTTGCTCGCCTGTTGCTGATAGTAATGAACTGAGGAAAAATAATGTTTACTTTTAAGATGAGCATCGCTCGTGTTAAGTTTTAAAGCCATAACATATTTATTTGAGCTAAAATATAAATACTTGATGAATCTAGAAAACGTAGTGAATATGTCAACCGCATGAATGCCGTTGTATGAAGTTTTCTCACACTCCCTTCCACGAATGCTGTCAGAAGAGGTGTGGACCCTGATTAAATAAGTATATCCGCTTTTCAAAATTAAACAATGTAACTGTTGTTTGGAGGTTGTAATTTCTAATAACCATGAGTAATTGCTTTCTTGTCTGCAACACAGGTTGTTTCTGAATCGAAGAGCGAGTGGGTGTCGTCGTTATAATAATGGCCAATAACTTTAGCAGGAAAGCAACAACAACTCTATTTACACTGATATAATGAACGTATAAATATTTACAGTTGAAGATTCTCAGCCAGTTCATGGCGTTCGTCTCGTTCGATTCGTACCGTTCAATCTGTCTCGCCCGTCTCCTGTCTAGTGCGTCTCGCGTTCCGTTCCTTCGGCTCACGATCGAAAGCTTCAACTTCCTTTTCTTTCTTGCTTTTTGCGCCGCCGAGATCACTTTCTCTCGTCTTCTTGCTTTTCGAACACTCCCACGCGCTCTCAGCCAAGAGCTGAACAGGTTTCACTCGCGAATGCCGCAATTCCTCGTGTAACGGGGGAAGCGTAAATGAGTGTTGTTCGTAGTTACTTTGCCCATTGTATATAGTTCGCTTATTGTGTAACGCAGGTATTACAAATCTCAGCGTGACAGCTCTCAGCCCATTCGGTGCACTCGTGACGTGGAGATCACTTAGCCAAAGGGCTACATTCGACGTAAGTGGATTAACATTTATTCTCCAGACAACCTTCGAATATTTTAACATATATATATATATATATATATATATATATATATATATATATATATATATATCAGGGATGGGCAAAATGCATGCAAATATGTATCGAAATACAAATTCAAAATACTTCGTCAAAAATGCATTTAATTATAAATCTAATTACCTTTCCCAAAAAGCATTTAAGTACAAGATACAAATACAACCAAATGTATTTGGTCTACTCCAAATACTTTCCAAATACATTCCTCAAAATTTGCGTCAGCGTCTTGAGGGCACCTGCAACGGGTTTCTGGGTATCTCATTTTAATTTTTTCATCGCACACTCGGGAGTTAGTGTGCGAGGCTCTAGTAACGTAATAGAAATATGATCACAAAAAAATGTAATCAGCTTGGACGCAATAGGTGAAAAAAGTACAGAGCTTCAAGCAGCTTTTTTTGTCGATTACATTTTGGTATAGACCAACAAAGAACCGAGACGACCAAGACGCGCAGCACTAGCTAGAGAATTTTTTATTGTTGCAACTCGCGCCAGTTACGAAAATCTGGACGTCCCGCGCATTTAGAATGTACCAGGAAAAAAATATGGATGGAAATCAGGCTGGAAAGTATCGCAAGTTGTCACAGGCACTTATTTAGCCAGTCTGCCTGTGAACGTCGATTTCGTTGCAATTCTTGCCCTGGACTAGCACTGTAATCACAAAGTCACTAAACGCTTGTGCTTGATTGAGAGACACTGCATTCGGTGCAAAACGTAGTTTTCTTCCTGCTCTGGACAGTGACAATAAATTTGAGGGATGTATTTTTGCCCACAAAATTGAATTTAATTACAATTGTATGTGAAATACCCACGTTTTAGTATTTAAATACACACGTTAAATACATTACCCAATTTGTAATTAAATACAAATTCAAGATACACAAAGTATTTGAAATACGTATTTCAAATACTTGTATTTGAAATACTGCCCATTTCTGATATATATATATATATATATATATATATATATATATTGCAATATTGTATTTATCCTGGCCATAAGCAACGTCATAGCCTGCACGAAGGCAAGGCATGTTGAGAAATCTTTGAATTATAGAACTACTCGCGCGGTGGAGAAAATGGAAACATAGAACTGTGTAATCAAAATACGTGTATTGAACGACTGTAAATTTTCAGTGGTCGTTTCATGTCAAATGAAAGTTTAACCGTAAACGTTACTAAATTGGAGGCTAGAACGGAAAACATCTAAGGCGACTGGTTTCCTCATGTGATAACCAAAAAAGTGGTAAAGCAGGAGTGTTATTTTTTAAAATTTCATTTGTCATGTGATTTAGTTTTACTGTGAGCGAATTATTCTTTATTTTCGATGGTGTTGTTTATATTTCAACGCCAGTCACCTATTCCAAATGCTCGGGCTTTATGCGCAAAATATGAAGTCGTTTATATTTAGTATATTTGATTTTCATTTTCATGTAATGTATACTTTTATATTTATTTCAGTACCTGCACGGCCCGGAGGCCTTGTTGAACATAATTTGAGTGCAAAGTGAATATTTAGTTTGGTTTATAACATTTTAAGAATACCATTTTGACACACGAAGTCGTCTTCAATGAAAAGGTCTAAAACAGGAAGTTGCGGTGGTACTCACGAAACCTTAACATTTTTGCTTTCCCTCAACTTTCGTTGTGTTTGTATACATTTATTTTGTCTTAGTCCAAGTCCTTGCCCTCCGGTAAGAGAATATTTAAAGAAAGACTGCTTGTTTTATAATTTTTGTAAGAAACTTCGTTAGTGTGCATCGTCAGAGATAGCGCAATATCTGCATATTATTCCTATATAGAAACGCTTAAAAATGCTTTACTGTATTAAAACGGTCTGTCTGATATTTAGAAATGTTCACACTTGTATGGAAGACGCGCTACCATTTTACGGACATATACCTTAAGCTTATATGTTCCGTTTGGTTTCAATAATTTATATTTAATTCCTCATTTTTTTCCTGATTGGTATACTGAACAACTATCTCATTTTATACCTTCTTAGGTGTCCGCCACGTCCAATTGCATGAGAAAAATGCATTGCACAGAAAGGCCGCTCATCAGCATATCCCAAGATGTTGGAAACCCGAGTTGGTATTCAGCGCTCATCAGCAATCTGCCAACCTGGGAGAATACAAGCATTAACGTCCGGGCATGTCTGGATTCCAGTTTCTGTGGCAATCCGGAAGAGACTTGGGTCGTCCTAAAGGCTCAGTGTAAGTAAATTAAAGACAGAAAATAGTATTACGCGGAGTATCTAAATAGCAAAGACACCAGCACATTTACCCAATAGGATACCTCATAAAGTTAAATGAAATATGAATTTGCATGCTTTAGCGGTGCGGATAATTTAGTTTTCTAAATTCCAAAATTGTTTAGAAAACAATATTTAGGACGACGGGCAACTGCTTTCTAAATTGAATATGATAATCGGTATTTTGTTTATAAAATAAGTATTAGTAGTTGTTTTATTCTGTGGCCCGACGTCTGCCACTGTACGCGACGTTATTCCAAACTAGTCCTTTTTATTTGGGTATTTTTTGTTCATTATGCAAGGCGTTTCAGCAAGCACTGATAAAAAAATTAATATATTTTGAGCAAACTGCTAGTCCCAGTGGATATCAAGGATGTGAATGATACATATATAATAATAATAATAATAATAATATTACATTTTTATTGGAACACGCATTTAACAAGGCAGATACACGGGCCTGTCAAAGCCAGAAGCGGCTTGTGGGACAGCACCCTACAATTCATGCTTGAAAGAGTCCCCACAAACAAGAAGTTCACAGCTCAAATTCAACTACAGATGCAGAACAATGTAGGTGATGATGGTCATTCCAACATATGCAAACAGAAACATGCAGTCACAACTTCTCCCTAATACCTTGAAGTGATTCTTTCAATTTTTTTAAAGAATCCACAGCATAGATATCATCTGGTAAATTGTTGAAAATAAATGGAACGTAAAAATTTCGCACTCTTTTTCCGTAATTTGTTTCTACGAAAGGCACTTCAAACCGCTCAACACGCCGAAGAGGTCTACATAAGACACGAGACACCTTAAAAGTATCGCTCCAGAAGTATTTTAGAACAACCGTTTGTACAACTAAAGAATAAAAAAAGGCAAACCCAAGCATGTTAGCATTTCTTCTTCAGTTTGTGAAAAAGTACATTATGCTTTTAAATGTTCCTTTTAAAACTGAGTCAATTTTTTTGCCCCATAGTCCTGGGCTGTGACCAAAAATAGTTATTCCGTAGCGTAATACACTGTATGCTAAAGCGTGAGTTATTGTCTTTTTGGTTGAAATGGGTATTAGAGATTTGGCATTATACAGAAAACAGGATACTTTTCGCAGTTTTCTACAAAGTTGGGATAAATGGGCTTTCCACGACAAGTCACTCTCAAATTGTATTCCTAGATAGTTAACTTGATCAACATAAGACACAGGACGACAGTCGCAAGGTGTACACAGAGATGCATGCATATAAAGTGGATAATCGGTAGTTATAAGTTTAAGTGGGTTATGAAAGCAAACAAGCTTAGTTTTATGTATATTGATCGTGAGACAATTAGCTCTAAACCAGTCGTGTAGGTGACAAGTGTCGTCTTGGAGTAAAGTGATTCCTGCAACATAATCAAGGTGTTGCGATAGCAATACCGTGTCATCAGCGTATTGAAATAATTTACATGAGGAAACTGCCCTGGACATATCGTTTACAAAGATGTTAAAAAGGAGAGGTGACAAAACGGATCCCTGAGGAACCCCAGCTTTTAAGCTAACTTTGGAGCCTCGGATATTCGCTATGGAAACTAGTTGTGTCCTTCCCGACAAAAAGTTCTGAAGTAGTGAAAGGAATGGGCCGCGGAATCCAATGTTTTGCAATTTAGTTAGTAAAATATTATGACTCACGGTATCGAATGCCTTTGCCACATCAATAAAAAGTGCGCAAGCAACCTGATGCTTCTCAAAGGTATGATTCAATTCATCAGCAAAATCTTCTAGAAGTGGCTGGGTCCCACGTCCACTGACAAACCCATATTGAGTTGGCGATAGAATGTTAAAGCGATCAAGAAACCCCGTCCTAGATTGAAGGATATGTTTTTCTAAGATCTGGACTATACAGGGTAAAATAGAAATTGGGCGGTAATTGTCAAGCTTCTTGCGCTCTCCTCCTTTAAATAAAGGCTTTACAAGTGCAGTTTTTAAATCATCTGGGATAATCCCGGAATAAATAAAACCATTTAACATGTAAAGAAGCACGTGTTTTATAGAATTATAATTGCGTTGCAGGTCTTCTGCACCGATGCCATTTATGCCAGGCGCCTTGTTTGTTTTGAAACTGAAAAGCCAAGTTCGTAGATCAAGCTCGGTCATTTGAGGAAGGAAAGCCGAGGAAACATTAGACTCTAGATATTCTGTAGAGAACGTAGCATCGTTAGGCGCTACTCCAGAAAATTTAGCAAAAAACTTGTTGAAATCCTCATCCACTGTCGTATTAAGATCAAATACTTTCTCAAGTGAATCATCAATGGATCTCCTAACACCAGAGCCACGTAATTGATTTAGTAAACGCCAAGTTTCACGAATATTTGACCTTACCTTAAAAAATCTCTCTCGGAAGTATTTCCTTTTAGCGCACCGGATAAGCGCATTTACACGATTTCGCGTAGCGCGGAATTCTATTTTTAACTGAACATTTTTAGGAGAACGTCGGCATTTAGCCCATAAAGCATCTTTATACTAATGCATGACAAGATATCCCCTGTTAACCACACTTGTGCATTTTGACGCCGCCTGACAGTAATAATCTTTTTGGATTGCTCCCTGAAAGAGCCGGATTGATTTCTAAACGTACTGTAAATTTCAACGAAGTCTTGAATGGACAACAAACTATCCCAATTATAGGCCTTAACTAACTTATCAAACCTTACTTTATCAATTATTTCAACTCTTTTTGTTGTTTCTGTTTTTGTTTTAACGCTAAGTTTTGATGTAAGTTGACACGCAACAAAGTAATGGTCCGCTAGTTTTTGTTCTATTACAGCTGACTGCGCAACGACATTTGCGGCGCGTACGCTAATATGGTCAAGACATGAAGCGACGAGATGATCACCCAGAAGTTCCTCTCGAGTCGGAGCTAGAATCAGTTCCTCTAGACCAAACTCCGCTAAGAAATTCAGATAGTCACAAACAAGGAAGTTAATGGGTTGAAGGGTGTCAATATTAAAATCACCTATCATACAGATGTCGACGGACTGAAATTTACCAAGTGTATCTCTGAGTTCTTCCAAAAAGTTTAAAGCATTAGATGACGGAGGTCTGTACAGTGCCAATAAGAACAACGACCACTCAGAATTCCATAACCTTAAGGACAAAGACTCGCAATGAAGAAAATCTACTTCAAAGTTTTCAGTACACCATGAATCTTTAACGAATACCGCGATTCCTCCTCCTCGACCAATCGGTCGTGTAAGAAAAAATGATTTATATCCCGGTATCTGAAAGGCACTACAAAACTCTTCGTTAACATTGATCTCTGTTAGCACAAAAACATCAATTATTGACATCACACTGTTGATAGTTATTACAAACTGGTCCCAATATTTACGAATACTCCTAATATTAACATGTAATAAGCCAAGAGCAGTATCGTTGACTGGGCTCAAGAGACGTTGAAAAGAAGAAAAATCTGAACATCGGTGAAACTCTACTTCCATTTTTCGAAGTGGTAGTTATCTCGCCTTATTTTCAACCCATTAAGAAACGAAAAAAACTAGACAATCTTTTCCAAGTCGACCGTCCGATAGATGCGCACTACAGGCGAGCTTTCTGACTTCTTCGCAAATAGCTTCCCAGTTTTCACCCAAGTGAACTTATATTGCTTGACCCTTGCCCTCTCACGCACCATCCAAAAGAGTTCCCTGTTCCTTCGCGTTAGATTCTCGTTCAGGTAGAGTTTTGGCAACGAACTGTCTGCCGCCAACGTACGCAGCTTACCTCGTGTGGCAAGCCACTGCTCTCTTAGTGACACGGATGCCAATCTAACCAGGACAACTGGAGGGCCATCGCGTCGAGAAGGCAGACGATGCACTGCCACTATGTCATTTGGCCGAAAGTCACCAAGGCCTAGTTTACACGCCAACTCACTAACAACGGAGACTAAATTTTCAGTTGGGGATTGAGGAAGTCCATGTATCTCGATGTTTGAGAGACGACTGTACTGTTCACTGTCATTGAGCTCTTCTTGCAGGTGCTCGATTATCTGAGATTGCTCCGTTACCACTGTTTTCAGTGATGTGGTTTCGCTGCGCAGTTCGTTTATAGCTGCTGCGTTGTTCGTGGCTGTCGACAGCACAGAGTCGTACTTAGCCGAGAGAAAGGCGATGGACTCCTGAACCTCCGTTACTGCAGATTTCAGGCTCTCGACTACCGGCTTCAGCGTGAGCAGTTGGTTCATTTGGGTTGGCAACTCGAGGAGGGTGTCAACGTTGGCCTTGAGTAAAGTAAGGCACTCCAGCCTAGCTTCAAGAGATTGAAAATGTTCCGTAGTGGCAGGAGATGCGCATTGCGACAAATCTGCCTCACTACGAGACCCATCTCCGCTTTGCTGTTGTCTGCATACGCGGCAACGCCAGGCCTTTCGTTTTCCAGCGCCCATGGTCTTGAATGTACTGTCTGCAATACCGGAGCAAAGCTTCCCCAGATGGTATAATGCTCTACAGTCGGCGCAGGACATGTGCCGACCGTCGTTCATAATCTTCTCCTTGCATTGCGCGCACTGGAGTGGAGGGGACATTGTAGAAGCGTAGGAGTCGGTATGCAGTACAGCGCGTCCGTGTCACTTGAGTTGGACTGAAGCGTTGAGCAGGGCGGCGCGAGCTGCTCGCTCACCGTGCAGATCGTCGTTCCAGGCGAGCTCGCGCAGGACGAGCGTTCCAGAAGGGACGTCTGGTGAAGCCGTGAAGCCGCTTAGGCCTACTTAGTGCGAGCTGGCCAGTGAAAAGTTAGGTCACCTGATTCTGACCAAGGCTTGTGCTTGCGGTGATGCCGGGGACTTCCTGAGTCACAGAGAGCTTGCTGGCGCCTTATGTTTCAAAAGGAAGCGAGTACAGGTTCAAATCAGCAGAGCTGTCGAAAAGGGACAACCGCTTTCGGGGACGATGATGATGATGAATGATAATAATAATAATAATAATAATTGTATTCAA